TTAATATAAATGCCTTTTCTCTTTTTTCAAATAGCATTAATCCTCAGTAACAATATCCAGTTTTTCCTGCATCATGTGGTTCCTTCATATCTAAGACATGTGAGAACCCACTCATCTCTCTTTATTTTCTACTCAAATACTTTGCCGATTTCCTTATCTTATCAACTTTGTGTCCAATTTCTGCTGTCACTCCTCTACACACATGAAGAATGTTCCACTAGCAAAGTGTTGGTTTATATTTCTTTTTCTTGTTCCTGTTGAGTGTGGAATTATCCTCTGTTTGTTTTTTTGACACTGCTCAGCACTTGAACATCTGCTTATGATTTTTGATAATGATAGGTTATAAGGTGTCGTTCGAACCCCTTGCAGCAGAGCCACCCACTGCTAGCTCCCATTGGCCAAGTGTTCCCTTGGTTTCAACACTATGAAATTCTTAATTGTATCTAATGCAGCTCCAAACGTAACTACAGTAGGAATGAACCTATCAGAACTTTGTCATTCAGCTCTGCAACCTCACAATATTTTAAATGAATGATAAATGTCCATAAGCAGAAAACAATTATAGTATAAAGGTCTAATCAGTCATGTTATCAGCTCAAGTAAGAGGCCTGAGAATCGTGTGGGAATGGAAGCTGGAATACCCTGGAAATGCAAGCAGAAGGATCAGAAATCCTTTCCTCATGTGTCTCCCGGTCCAATACTGTGGAATTCAATAGTCTTCATGTTTAACATACTTGTTGTGTGTTGATAAAACACCAGTAAAACAGCAGAACATTAACTCGGGAATTATTACAGTCATACATTAAACAATAGTCCAATTAAAGAAAGAGGGAAAATGGGATAAGAACAGAGCCTCTGGCAAAACTACTGTAAATATTGTTTTCAGGAGCCAAATTACTTCTGTTTCAAATGAAATAAAAAATCTGGCTGGTCCTTTACTTTGTCTGTGGAGGCACACTAAAGGAAAATGTTGGAAATGCAATTTTCAGTCGAAGAGAAACAAGCCACAGTGTCTGGGTGCAGTCAAAACACATTTGTTCTAATTACAGCATGATTCATCTCTGGACCTTTAAACAAAATAGCTATTTTCTTCCTTAAAAATGAACGCAGCTAGGATGAGGTCATATGTCTGGTTAATTAAAAAATCATCATATACAAAACAAATGGAAGATGCCAGACAATGAGCATCAGCTCCCAAGGCAAGTCAATGGCAAAGCATGGTATTAGCAAGTGTTTTTAATACATTGGGGGCCAATTCTTTTAAGATCTACAACTACCAATTGAATCCAAAACTACAGCTTTTTGAGAAGTACAAACACTGTTTATTAAAATAACTCATTTTAGGAAAGCTGTGAAGAACAAATTTTGGTTGAATTTACATTTACTGTACAATTCCATTCTGGAATCTTAAGCCGTAAGTCCTGCCCAAACATGTATAAAGGACTTTCTGTAACGAACAATGTAGGTTGCTATGCAGGATATTAAATGAAATACCTACAGTATAAGATTGCAATTACATTAAGGCAACTACATATAACAGACACTCAAACGTGACCCTCTTAAAATCTTTTAGAACTTTGATCCTTTCAAATCAGGATTGTCTTAATTGCTTAATTGACTCAGGTGCTGATGGTCAATGTTATCCATGTTGTCAAAGTTGATACCCTGGCTGCTTTCCAGAAACAGCTGGATGAGATTCTCAGATCAATTAGATACTGACAAGCAAATGGGCCAGATAGGCCAAATAGCCTGTTCTTGTTGGTGACCTTTAATATATTTCTATGGTTAACTGAAAAAAAAGATTTCAAATGGAATGGAACAGAAGCATATGCAATAATGCATATAGCCAACCACAAGGATAACTTGTGCTGTTCCATCTTCCTTCCTAATCTCTCCTTTCTGGCTTTCAGGCCCATTAGCACACACAAATCTTTCTTGTTAACTTGAACAGGAGTTTTTGTGAGCTATGGTGAAGTGAAATGAAACTGTTACAGACACACGCTTCCCCAGAACACTCTAGAGCCCTAAGTCTCTGGTGCCTGCGTTCCAGCAGGCACTTCAGAACAGTCTGGACCTTGTCAGGAATCTGCAGGTCAGGTACTCAGAGGTGCAAGGTAAACTACCTGAGCTTAACAGTACAATGAGCAAATCGCACAGCACTCTCAACACCTGGGCAGTGTGGACTACAGCTCTATAGTCACCTTAGGAGACACAGTGCAGAATGATGGGTAGTTGGGAAAAACCCTGGACCAAAACATAGTATCAGTGAGAAGCCATGGTTGCTTGTGTACGAATAAGCCTTGTATAAGGGTAAACAAATGATAAGCTTCTTTCTATTTAATACCTAATATCTAATATCTATAAAATATTCATCCTGGCATGGCAGAGTAGTAGGATGAGTGCCCAGCTCCATTTCTATTGAGGAACAGGGACTGATCCCTAAAGAAGATGATAAAAGTAGCTAATCAAATCTCTCCTGCATTAACCACCATGTCACTGTACAGCGTGTCTCAGAACCTTTTTACATTTTAGATTATTTTGCAGAACAAATCCCACATGTAATAATTATAATAATAAAAATAATAATTGCTTACACTTATATAGCATTTTTCTGGACACTCCACTCAAAGCACTTTACAGGTAATGAGGACTCCCCTCCACCACCACCAATGAGCAGCATCCACCTGGA